GAAAACTAAATTTAAAAACATATTTTCTTCTGAGAGTAAGAAGTATTAAGTGTAGATCAGTTTTTAACCTTATCCTTATTAGATTTAACTTCGACCGTAGCTAGAAGCTAAATTATACTTGTTGTTGAGCTGTAGAAGTGCAGCTATACTTATATGGTGATTTTTAAAAGGTTGATAATTGTTTATTATTTATTTAAGTGAGAGGATGTCGCCCAGGAAAATCGGTTCAGATGACTGAATCTGAAGTGCGTGGACTATGCCTTAAATCAAGGGAAATATTTTTACAACAACCCATACTACTTGAACTAGAAGCTCCTTTAAAGATTTGTGGTAAGCATTTAGAATTGAACCATTTTATTACATGCATTATTGTTTCTCTTTTAAGGTGATATTCATGGACAATATACAGACTTGCTTCGCTTGTTTGAATATGGTGGATTTCCTCCAGAAGCAAATTATTTATTTTTGGGTGATTATGTAGATCGTGGTAAACAGTCCTTAGAAACAATATGCCTGCTCTTAGCCTATAAAATTAAATATCCCGAAAATTTCTTTTTGCTACGTGGCAATCATGAATGTGCATCTATTAATAGAATATATGGTTTTTATGATGAATGTAAGTAAGAAAATTATAATTTTGTACCCAAATATTGAAAATATTGTAATACTAATAGTTTATATTATTATTTTAGGTAAAAGAAGATTTAATATCAAATTATGGAAAACATTTACAGACTGTTTTAATTGTTTGCCAATTGCTGCAATAATTGATGAAAAGATATTTTGTTGTCATGGAGGCTTGAGTCCTGATTTACAAGGAATGGAACAAATTAGGAGAATTATGAGACCTACTGATGTACCTGATACAGGTAGACAATGAAAACTTTGTTTCTAATATTTTTGCTTATTTAAAACATTGCATTAACTATGCAAATGTCTGCTTAAATTTATAAAAGCAAATATGTTATCGATTCCTTAGGTCTTTTGTGTGACTTACTGTGGTCAGACCCTGATAAAGAAGTCCAAGGCTGGGGCGAAAATGACAGAGGCGTCTCGTTTACGTTTGGCCCTGATGTGGTAGCAAAATTTTTGAATAGAAATGATCTTGATCTCATCTGCCGTGCTCATCAAGTTGTTGAAGATGGTTATGAATTCTTTGCCAAGAGACAACTAGTAACATTGTTCTCTGCTCCCAATTATTGTGGTGAATTTGATAACGCAGGCGGAATGATGACTGTTGATGAGACACTAATGTGCTCTTTTCAGGTAAGATTATTCTGTTAAGTTTTCAACTTTGAAGTAGTTTAGTTAGAAAACATGCAGATAAAAAATTAGAAACTTTGGCTATTTTAGATATTAAAACCATCTGAGAAAAAAGCCAAGTACCAATATCAGGGTTTGAATTCTGGACGCCCAGCGACGCCTCAGCGCAATCCTCCTACCAAGAAAAAGTAAAAGGAAATGTTCCTTTGCCATAGAAATTATTCCAGTATATAAATTTCATTTTCTTCTATTACAGAACTATCATACATTTGAATAAGATTAAAACAATAGGCAGAAAAACGTACACCATCATTGGTTCACGTGTGTCGTTATTAAAGAACGTTCGTTTCATTTATTAATCGTTTAAGTGCTTTAAAAAGTTTTACTAAAGTATTATTTATTTATTTAATTCGGTTTTTTGTTGCTGGTTCGATGTTGACTGAATTTATAATTAAATTCAGATTGTTTATTATTGGTAGTTTGCATTTATGAAATAGAGACCAGTATTAGATTTTACTTTAAAATTAGAACAGAAAAGATTGATGCTACTAAAAACGTTAAAATGTGGTATTTAAGTTGGTTCTATTTTCTTCTAAAATACATGGGAATTCTTACGAAATACTGTAAGAGCAGACATAATTTATATAAATGTATTAATATTAATACATTTTATGCTGATGAAAATATTACAGTTCGCATTTTCGATCAAATCGGCAATGGATCCTATATTTTTCAACAGGCTCCAACTTTGTGGTTTTTAATTGGCAGCAAGTACTATTTAAAGATCTCCTTGTATATTTATTTACTTTTCAAAAATACGAAAACGTTTTCAACGATTTAAATAAGCTTTTGGATTTTCTTTATAGTAGCATCATTTTTTTTTTTTTTAATGCTAAATAGGACTTCAAACCATTTTAGCTTATGTAATATTTCTTAATGATTTTTTCAGTTTCAATATAAATACGTTTTTCATTGGCGAACAAAGCAGAACTATTTTGCCTTAATTGGCCGTAACGTGAATAACCTCGCATGCTTTGTAAACGCGAACTACAAGTTGCTTGTAAATAGATGTATGCAATACTAATTTCTAACTTTGTTGCACTGGTAGAGTAATTTGGTCACACAGAATGTCAGCTTTTGGGTGTATTTAAATAAATAGAAAAAGAGTCACTCCCTTCTTGTTAATTACCAAAGAACTTGTGATTCAGAACGTCCTGAACTGAAATAGTAGGTTAAAACAACTTATTTTTATAATAATGTATTTTCCTTTAATGAAGACGCGGCGGTAACATTTTTAAATGCAAAGTTTATCTTACTAGTGCACTGTTTTATTGTCTATTAGTGTTAAAACTTTAAACCTTGACTTCATTTGTAAATTAGATTATAAGAAAATAGATGTATATTTAAGTTAAACTGTCTTTTGCTTTAATGAAATATTTCCAGTAGAAGAGAGTTAAATATTTGGACTTAATTTTACGCCCTTGATACGTTTCTTGAAGATACTTAACACGTTAACTGTTGTTTGGAGACTAACCGAAGAATTTAACCAAGCCCAAATATCAAATTCTCATCAAATAACACTGGCCGTGAAAGTCAGCTTTTTCATTTCCATTATGTAGAAGTTGTGATGGAAAAATATGAGTTTGTTTTAATGTTTATTCTTATCATTACAATTACATAGTAAGGATTGGTCATAACATAAAAAGGAAATTACATATCTTTAAATTCACCACTGCCATTTAACATTAGTATATTAGGATTTTCTTTTTCAAATTCGCTAGGTTCTCTTTCTCTGTCTTCCTTGCCCCACTCTCCCAGTGACGACATTACATCTGGCAGTTTTTTCTTTTCTTCTTCTTCTTTCTGTCCAAATCAAGAGTTATAATCACATAAAGTGATAAATATGTCAATACATATATATATAGTCATTCTTTTATAATGAGTATTAGATAATAAAAGTGCAATAAAGCAACCACTTACATTTCAAAACGTAGTAAACTACCTTTTTAAGATTTAAAATAAGCTGATATTTTAATAATTCATTATTAAAAATATAAATTTAGAAACTAAATCTTAATTTGTGAAATTTTTTAATGTAATAATTTGTCAGACTGACTATTAATCCTTGTCATAATAAAACATTGCATCATAAAAAGAAAATCCTAATCATTTTTTCAAAACACTAAATCCAATATGTAAAACACAGATATGTTTATTAGAATATTAATAAGATTATTATAAGACACAAACGTACACAACTTTATAAACAAAAAATTTATTTAGATAATGTAAAGTTCACAATTGTACAGAAATCGAAAAAATTGTGCTAAAAATCAAAATTATTTATATTAATTTGCCTTCACCTGTGCATCCTTTTTCGCGAATTTTTCAAACATATTGGCGTATATTTTCTTTTCCTTTTGTTTAACCTCTTTCAATTTTTTAACGCATAAGAGTTGCTGAACTTTTGCCGCTTGGTTATCTGGCTCAATCCTCAATACTTCTGCGAAGTCTTTTGCAGCTTCGTCAGGTTCTCCGAGATTTAAAAGAGCCTGTCCTCTTCGGAAATAAGCTTTGGCGTTATTAGGATCTATTTCTAGGGCACTAGTTGCATACTTTTTAGCGTCAAAGTCTTCGTTCTGTTTGAGATAACACAATGACAAGTTCAAATTTGCTGACAAAATTAAATCTTTTGTTTGAGATTTTTTATCGTCACTTTGTGAACCATCATCTGAAAAATAAATGTTGGCTTCTGTAGTTAAAAAATTGAAATTAGAAAATAAATACTAATTTAAAGTAGTAATTTTTAAGCAGAGAAGAATAATTTTGTTGATAAAAAACATGAGTGAATGGTAATTTTTGCAAAATCGAATAATGAATACTAAATTTTCTTTGATTTCCCAACTATTCAAACGTTTTGAGTAATAAGTTGTGTAAATGTTACAATTTTATGTTGCTCAGAGAAAATCACCTTGACAAAAATGTTACTTTTTCTTATTTAATGTTCTTTGTTTCTCCGCGCTTACAACAACTTGATCGTCAACTTGGAGTCCTTTACGTCGTCGTACGTCCTTCATTAATTTATTTGCCCTATTTACTGTTACAAATCCGTCCTCATCTGGTATAGGCTCGTAATATGGGTCACCTTCGACCACTTCGTAGTGACTAAATCGCAATCGTGGATTGGCGTTACCAGACGTTGCCCTACGTATTTCTTCGGGCAACGAACTGCTCTCAACAGCAGGCACCTCTGCCTTTACTACATAAGTTTTTTCTTGCTCGTCCATATCGACAGCTTCGATTACCTTACCAAAATGTTTGTGCACCACCGAATAGACTTTTCCTAGAGCGAAAGAATTAACTTGAATATCGGTGGCAAAAATCGGTTCCATTAATCTTTGTTGTTGTTTTTCGAAAACTTCACAAAACTGATTTTTTATGCATAGAGTCATTCCAGATTGTAACTGGGTGTTTGTTAAACTTTCATTACAGCTACTGCTAACATTTATATCGCCAATTATAAAGCCACATTTCATTAGAGGTTCCTGACAGATGGGGCCTGCTTTGCAAAATGCGTTAAAAGCGTTTATAATACAATTATTTATTATTCGCTTATCAGTATTATGAGTAAATATATTTAAATTCTTAAATTCAGGAGTGATGTTTAGGAGAAGGTTTATGCTATCACATTTACCACTTATACTCCAAATATTTCGGTAATCTAAATTATTCCAAACATTTCCAATTTCTTTAAACGAATCAATCAATAATTTCTTGACACGATTTACTGCAATTCGGGTACTTTCATAAACAAATTGTTTATCTTCTGCATATTCGTCTATATTTCTTCCATCAACCATATCTCTATTTCTAGTTTGATAATTTTCAACCATTTTTAATAATTCAAAGTTTGTAGTAACAACTTCAAATATTTTCTCAGGTAGCGGTACTATGGCAATTATTATTTCGATTCCGTATTCGTTTAATGAGATTTTTGCAAATTTAGATCGATCCTTTATAAAATCATATTGTTTTCTTTGCAATATAATTGTTTCTCTAAGAGAAACCGTTGGTTTTGAAAACGACAGCTCAATTTTTGAAAACTTATTTTTTAAATCTTCCATACATTTATCTAAATGTACACTACCTGCTGTTAGTAAAACATGTTCTCCCGTTTCTTGCATTATGACTTGGACGCATGAATCACTTTGCATTAACAGTCGAAGTCCTCGCCGAAGTTTTGGCAAATCGCCTAAACTTAAAGGCTCTACAACGCTTCTAATTATCGGATCCATCTGCTGTTTTTCTACCAATGGAACGCACATTAATGAATTTGTGAGTGTAGCTGTACGTAGTACAGTATTTTCTAATCCTCCAATACCACAAATTTGACCAGCCATAACAATAGGAACAGACTGCAAAGAGCGACCTTCGATTACATATAAATTTCTTATAGTGGCTTTTTGAACAGATAAATTATTTTTCAAAAATTCTTCAGATTCAATTTCACTACTGCTAATAATACTAGATGGATCATAATTTGAATTTAAGATAAATATTTCTTGACCTATTGTAAGACATCCACTAAACACTCTTGCCAGTGCCACAACATTGAATTCATTGTCCTCAGTTTCAATTGCCTTATCAAGGCCATTATTTGTATTATTTTCCTGCTTTGGAAAAGAAGGCGGACTCTCTTCTATAGAAGTTTGATCATTAGTAGTTAGCATTTTTATTGTATTCCTAGGTTTTGGAATAACAATTTTTGCAATCCCTCTCAAATCCTGCTTGTTTTGTATGAACATTTTTGATACATATGATATTAGAATTTCATCGGAACTGCATTTTTTAAAAGCTGTAATTAGTTTCTCTAAACAGACTGCTATGTGTTGATTATCCGAGTATTTCTCGCAATTTAACAAGTACTGAATCTTTTTTTCTTCCATTGCATTTGGAGAAGGAATTATTCTGTAACACTGAAGTAAAATTGTTTGTGCTAAAGGTTTCCAATGCTGTAGAACAGCTCTTAGTTTTAATCGCCCATCATTATATTGAGAATGGCTGACTGTAGCCTCTATATCCAGTTTTTTAATAATTTCTTGAATTCTATCATATTCCATTCGAAGGACAATAGTTGAATAAATAAAATGAAGAGTTGACAAACACAGTTGAATAAATAGATTAGGCTTGTTCTTCTTAACAGCTCCTTTGCATATTATTCTATTTTTAAAATCAACATAACAATCAAAATCCCACATTTTCTTATTAATACTTTCTAATGTTTCATTTGGGAAAATTTTAGTATACATCTTACTTATTTGTTCTGTTGTAAATCCCCATCCATCTAAACTACTAGCAAAAATTACATTTCCCAAATCAGGGGAGAAATAAAAACCAAATTTTTCTTCATCATCTTCACCTTCTTCAATGTCAAGACAAAATAATGAGCCTAAAAAAGCATTACAATCCTCTATAACATGAAGAATTGCTTGAAACATTTCACGACTATCTCTATGCAGTTCCAAAATCAATCGATCAATCTTATTAATCACTAGAATCATTTTAACACGCTCTTCATATGCTTGCTTAATAGCTTCCTTCGTTTGTACACAAACACCTTCAACAACGTCCACCACTATCAGAGCTCCATCACAAATTCTTACAGCAGCAGATACCTCTGTCATAAAATCTATATGACCTGGTGTATCAATCAGATTAAGGCTAATAAATTGATCGTTACCATCTTCTTTTAATACTGTATTTATACAAACACTGCTGCTTTTCATGGTTATTCCTCTTTCTTGTTCGTCTTTCCGATCATCCAAAAATTTTATCGTGCCAGCTGACCGGTTGCTAATCAAACCGATTAAAGCCAATAACGAGTCTGACAATGATGTTTTTCCATGGTCTACGTGAGCCAAAATGCAAACGTTCCTTATAACGTCGGGACTAATACTTGACTTTGTAATACTTTTGTGAAAATTCATTTTTCATAAAAGTTTAAGGTTAGATTACTTATAAGTATGATTATTAAAATAATTTAAATCCTGCGAGTAAACCACAATAATTTATGAATCGACAATAAAACACGGTTATAATTTTGAAAATAAATCAACTAAATGAAAAGCAATATTTCGTAACATAAGGTGCTTTTTGAACTCTTAACTTATTTCAAAAAGTAAGGTTAAATACATCTATGATATTTAACTTAACAAAAAACAGTTCTGTCAAAGATATCGCAAGTAGTTGAATGTGTTTATATAACGGTAAATCAGGATGTACAGTAAATCATACCCTAAGTTCATTACAACCAATTACAACAGAAAATCATTCTTGAATATGCACTGCTGCAGTCTTATGAAAAGTTAAATTTTCATCGATTATTTTACAATTGCTCATGACAACGCATAAAATCGTTTAACGAATCTAACTTTAAAAGTGTACTCTCAATTTTTGTTAATTATGTTCAGTTTAAAGGACTTAAGCATTAAAATTACTACAAGTACCTCCTGTCCCTACTTAGTAAAAATAATTTTAACTTACCTTTCTCATGCTCTAGAAATGACAGGATTTTCTTGTATAACTTTGTAGCAAGTTTCAATTTCCCTGCTTTGAAATAATCAGTCCCCTTTTCTTTAAACATCTTTGCATGTTCAATCCGTTGTTCAGAATCCAGTGACCAAACCTCTTTTGCCTTAAATTAAAGAATAACATTAAGGCATTAAAAATATACATAAAATTCATCATAGTTGATAAATACCTTTTCAAAGTTCTTTAAGGTGAGATTATATTCAACTGTGGCATCAGGAGGAATTTCTAGCTCCGTATTTCCTTCAGAACCAAATGCAAATTTGGGTTTGATAATCAATTTTGACTGTTCACCTTTTTTGAATTTTTCAAGTGCTTTTTCTATACCTTCTATAATATTGAACTCACTACCTTCTCCCAAATTGAAGGAGACTTCCCTGTCTTCAAAGACTTTGTCTTTATATTTACCAATAATGTGGACTGAAAAAATTCTTCAAGTTAAAATACTTTATAAAAGAAAAAATGTTTTTGTTACCTTCTACCAAAGCTCCATCATTGGGAGATGAATATCCTTCACCAGAAATTATTTGCTGTCTTTGAATACTACCATCTTTATCAGGGCTTATATCTTCAAGTTTCCAATCAATAACTTCTATCTGTAATAAATACGGAATTAACAGTTGATCTTTCTTATTAAATAAAATCTTACATCAAATTTTAATGTAGCATCAGGTGGAATATTTGGAGGGCTGCCCGTTTTACCATAAGCATAGTCAGGAGCAATTGTTAAAATTGCTTGCTCTCCTTTTTTCATTGTTGCTACCCCAATATCCCAACCCTTAATGACATTTCCTTAAATGAAAACTACAATGAAGAACTGATAAAATAGCGTTACTAATAAATTAATACCTTTTCCTAAATTGAACTGAAATGGTTTATCACGGTCACGGCTGGAATCAAATTTTGTCCCATCTAAAAGTGTTCCTGTGTAGTGCACCCTCACCTGGCTTCCATTTGGAGGACATTCATCTCCTGTGCCAGGTTTAATTATTCTTTTTAAAACAGCTCCATTGTGTTCTGGAGAAATGTCGATCTGCTCATCTACCTCCATTACTAATTTATATTTTTGACTTTTCTGAAAGTATACAGATGTATTTCTGTTACAATCGAGCAAGAAAGGAATCGCAATCGCGGTTAGAGGTTAAAAAACATCTTTGCTCAATGAATTTTTTTGAAATTTAAAATGACAAATCAAAACAATATTATATTAATTGATTCAATAGTGAAATTAACTTACCTAAATTACCTTTACACAAAAGGGAATTAAAGATCCACAATAAACAATTTTTTAAGATTTTTAACTTGGGATTATTTTAGGAAAAGGTTTTCGTCTATTTACGGCTTTCAGTTGATTTTCCTGACTGCAGAAAGATATTACCACGGTAACACGATGTGTTTTATAGATTTTAACTATAAAGAACGTTCTGGAATTTAAAAAATTTAAAAGCAATTGTCCAACAAAACGGCAAAACTCGCTTAATGCTTAACATGTAGTACAGATGTCGTATGCTTACTTGATCCTATCATAAAATTCATAAATTGTAAAAAAATATTTAATTTTGCAGTTTATAAATATTTAAATATATAATAAAAAGCACTGATGAAACGATCATTGTGTGAATTTGTCAATTATACCGTGAAATTCTTTCCAAGTAATTTCTATTTCATTTGTTTATAGGTACATTTTTTATTGAAATGGCAACGTTGGAAGAAGTTAGGGTGTGTGTAGTATGGCATGAAAATGCATGGGAAATGTCAATCAGTGAAAAACAAATGTTTATGGTTTCCTAACCTAAAAATTTAAATAAAAGTTGTGATGCGATTGTATTAATTTTTTGTGTAAAAATGAAAATGGAAGAGGAAATTTTAAAACATGGATTAATGATTAAACGCTCCCTTAACAAGAAAATTTATACTCCTATAAATTATCGACAAAGGTGGTTTACATTAACAAGAAAATTCCTCATTTACTATGATACAGAAAATGAAGAGGTAAGCAACTACTTCAAAACTGTACACTAAAAATTAAAAATGACAATTAATTAGGTACCTTAGCACTAATAGAAACGTCTTGTGAAGTTTGATATCTTGAATTTTAACTATGTATTTTGTGGATTTATGTACCACTACATACAACTTACGATACGTAAACTATTTTAATCTTTTTCGTAATTCAGTTCAAATTTTCTGATAAAATATTTCATGGGGCGATGTAAGCCAAGTAACTGTTGGTTAGGAAATTTCTTTGTTGCATTTGAGGGTGCGCGAGAGAAATTGTATCAGTGCGAGAAGGGTGGGTCGATGGCCAAATTATTCGTAGTTCTTGGAAAGGAGTACTAAATAAAAATAAAAATATGTATAAAACTTACTATTGTTGTTAAATACCTTATTAATAATTTATTGAATTAAAGGTATGTATTCAGTATTTGTAATTCAAGTTTCGACCGGTTGCTAATCAAACCGATTAAAGCCAATAACGAGTCTGACAATGATGTTTTTCCATGGTCTACGTGAGCCAAAATGCAAACGTTCCTTATAACGTCGGGACTAATACTTGACTTTGTAATACTTTTGTGAAAATTCATTTTTCATAAAAGTTTAAGGTTAGATTACTTATAAGTATGATTATTAAAATAATTTAAATCCTGCGAGTAAACCACAATAATTTATGAATCGACAATAAAACACGGTTATAATTTTGAAAATAAATCAACTAAATGAAAAGCAATATTTCGTAACATAAGGTGCTTTTTGAACTCTTAACTTATTTCAAAAAGTAAGGTTAAATACATCTATGATATTTAACTTAACAAAAAACAGTTCTGTCAAAGATATCGCAAGTAGTTGAATGTGTTTATATAACGGTAAATCAGGATGTACAGTAAATCATACCCTAAGTTCATTACAACCAATTACAACAGAAAATCATTCTTGAATATGCACTGCTGCAGTCTTATGAAAAGTTAAATTTTCATCGATTATTTTACAATTGCTCATGACAACGCATAAAATCGTTTAACGAATCTAACTTTAAAAGTGTACTCTCAATTTTTGTTAATTATGTTCAGTTTAAAGGACTTAAGCATTAAAATTACTACAAGTACCTCCTGTCCCTACTTAGTAAAAATAATTTTAACTTACCTTTCTCATGCTCTAGAAATGACAGGATTTTCTTGTATAACTTTGTAGCAAGTTTCAATTTCCCTGCTTTGAAATAATCAGTCCNTTTATCCCATAATAAATATTTTATAGGTTTGCTATTCTTAATTTTCAATTTAAGTTTCGTGATTTTGTTATCTTGTTTTCAAAATATATTACAAAATAATCAAATCGAGTTCTGAGAAACTAAACTAAACGGAACATTATTACCAAAACTTCCACAGTACATTTAAAAACTTAAAACGCGTTTCTACACCCAAGGTGACATCCTCAGTCAGAGTCACTAAAAGTGTGGATGAACCTTAGTTCGATTTTGAACATACTTAACTAACGTAGTAATCTTTTATAAATAACTTTAATTTGTTTTTATTTAAAATTTATTGGTATATGCAGTTGTTATTATTTTATTTATTTCAAAGTATTTTCTATTTTTTTCAGAAAAGAAAAGAACGTGGTCGAATCGAACTCGAACTAGTTCATACGGTCGAGGTGGCTATTATCGCGGGAAATACCGAAGAGAATCGTCCTCAAGGAATATCATATCCTTTTCAGATTGGTTACCAAGAATCCGGTCAAGATTATATTCTTTACGTTTTGGCACCAACTGAAAAGGATCGCACCGAATGGATATGGGCCGTACGACTGGGTAAGTGTTTTAATTTTTTTTATACATTTTTTATAAATATAATTATAAAAACAAACTTAAGATTATTTATCTTGCAATTTTTACGGGTACGTATGTACTTATGTTAAGAAATNTTTTCGAAGAACATAATATCTCCGGCTGTTCCCCGAAATCGAATACCCCTGTCGCGACATTCAATATACTCCCCGGCTGTTTATTAAACCGAAATAACTTGCTTCGAAAGTGCCGTAAAACCAAACTGTATTATACCTATGTCGGGCGGTGCAAAACCGCATTGTCGACCATAAATCGGCCTTTTTCCGCTGAAACCCAGCACGTGAGAAGGTCGCTATGAAATTTGAGGAACTGACACACGTCCGAGTGATCAAAGATCGGTCGCGAAAGAAATGGAGCACAAGAAAATTATTTCAAAACTGTTCGACCACCTTCATGTCATACGTTGGTACATGCAGTAACCATGCCTCTATGTTTTTCGTAATTACATACTTATTTAAGTACCTAAAGATCTATTGACAAATAGGTATAAAATTTAAAGTTTACACAACTTTTTAAACTCTTAGTAAATTAGTGTATTCATTTAAGTATAACTTTTTGTACATATGCAGTAAGCGCTCGATAGTGTGAATATCGCATAATCGAAACACTGCATAATCGGAATAGTTGCTAATAAATTATTTAAGACCACAATACCGTGAACTTCACATATAAAAATGAATGACCATTGACCTCAAAAATAAATATTTCGCTGTTGTAAATCCTCGATATTTTGGGTACTTCCCTGGTTGTATTAAGTACAGAGAGATGCTGTTTTATTCCATTGTTAAAGGCAGTTTAGAATGACATGAACCTACAATATAAAAAAGCAAAACTGTCATTATTTATTGATTTCAAATCTTTCTTCGAAGAAAAATAATACTCTTATTTCATTTTGCACATTGCACCAATTATTTAATGGCGAGTTGGACGAAAAACTTCTTTGACGACATTCGATTCGCTAGAATTAGTTTTTGCTTCATCTTCAGGCGGCATTTTTAATTTTGTTAACGGTTCTTTGTCGCTTTCGTTAATATTAATCCATTGCGGAAATCTAAATCCATAAATTATAACTGCTAATAACTGTATTCTAAATTCCGATTCGTACGATTATGATGTAAGACAAAGGAACATCAGAATATTAATAGTGATCTTAAATACGGCAAATTTATTTCACGGTTTCAACCTAGATTTAGGTAATTGCAGGTAAATTATATATAAATACATAATTCAGAAACTGTTCGTTTTTATCAAAAATTTTAAACGGAAATTAAGAGACCGTTAAAATTTAATAACCAATAGTAATCCATGAATCGATTTTCCGTAGTGGTGTTTCCTTTGAGCTTATTTTTCTATCATCATCATAAGCTCGTCAGTCCTAAGACTGGTTGGACACGCACCTCCACTCCTTCCTATCCTGAACTAACCTTCGCATTTCCTTAAAACTAGAACAATCCACATCCTTAACTATTTACGAACAGTAATTTAATCTAGGTCTACCTCTACCCCTCCTAACTCCCGTTTGTGCCTCTAATATATCTCTGACTAGACCTTCATGACTGAGAAGATGTGCTACTAACCTATCTCTCCTATTTCTTATTGACTTCCATAGAGTCCTCTGTTCTCCTCTTCTTTCTAATACCTCTTCATTTCTAAACTTCTCTATCCACGGTATCCTCATCATTCGCCTGTAACACCACATTTCGAACGCTTCTAACTTTTTCTTTTCCACCGCGCCACGTCCATGTTTCGCACTCGTACAGAGCCGCGTTCCAAACATTTACCTTTAACAATCTTTTTCGAATTCCTAAATTAACCGTTCGCGTGCATAGAAGTGACTTTTTTTAATTGAAGACGACCCGACCCTGCGCTATACTCTGCTTTATATCCCTACTACTCCTTCCGTTCTGACTTATCTAACTTCCTAAATACCTAAAATCGGTCTTTTCTTCTCCTAATTCAATATACAGCTACATTATGTTTTTTACTTACAGAATAATATTTTTGTTTAGTATTACGTACCTATATTTACGTATAAATTTGGTGATATTTGTCTTTAACAAGAACGTGAAAATATTAAATATTTCATTAATATGAAATCACAAAGTTTTATTACTTTATTTATTCGTACTGTTTATTAACATAATTATAAGTTGCTGTAGCAGTTACGTTTGGACTTATTTTGGCAAACATCTTTAGCTTGCAGATTTAATAAGTGCTTAAGAGGAAGGTATCATCCTGCAATTTGGAACGGTAAGAAGTGGACCTGCTGCAAAAGTTCGACACGTAGTACCCTAGGCTGTGAAAATAGTAGTACGTGGATTGCCTTTGTCGAGGAAAGCGAAACCAATAAAGAAAATCGGATTGCAAGTAAGTTTTTTTTATAATTTCCGTAAATGGCGAATTTTATGTTCAGCAGTTTTTATCTTCAAGTTGAAATGCCTTTCCTCTTAAAGAAAGAAGAAAGGATGTTTATTTCTGAAATCAATTCGCAAATTTTCTCTCTAGGTATCGGTAATAGGTAAACTTTTATTTGCTACTAATTTAAGTCGCCATAATATTTACAAGAGTTAGTTTGCCATTTTTGTTTATTAATAAAAACAAGCGGCAACTCAAACATGCAACGGAAGTTGCGCGCGCAGTTAAAGTCAAAATAATTCGTGATATTTACATACATAATCAAAGGTAATGTTTAAATAAATACATAATTATTATTACTGAATACGTTTTTTTTATAAAAAAGTCATTTATAGAACAAATAAAAAGGTAGGGAAGGTTGTACTTCGTAAAATGACGTTTATTGAAATACCTATAAACAGAAATTTTTGAAAGCATTTATCTAAATCCGATAAATATCTAGGAAACTCAACTTATGACTATCTTACTTTGAAAATTCTGGCAAAATAAGTGGGCAAAGCACGTGTCCTGTTTTTTTCAGTGTTGTAGTATTCGGGGTAAGTTTTCTTGGTTTAATTAGATTTTATAAATTCAATTAAATCTATGTTAAGAAATAAGTTTCTTAATCAATCTACCACTTTGGCCTACATACGTAAGTTGCGAAATTCAAATAATTACAAAAGAAATGGTTGCATTAAACGTTAATGCATTGTTCATCGCAAGATTGGTTTTGCTTTTGTTGTTTATTAAACATTTGCCTAAAATTCGTACGGTTTGCTAAATAAATATNTCCGATAAATATCTAGGAAACTCAACTTATGACTATCTTACTTTGAAAATTCTGGCAAAATAAGTGGGCAAAGCACGTGTCCTGTTTTTTTCAGTGTTGTAGTATTCGGGGTAAGTTTTCTTGGTTTAATTAGATTTTATAAATTCAATTAAATCATAAATAAATATAAACAAAATCTCACAGAAAATGGACATGCATTCTCTTTAGTCATTTGATAGCACAGACAAAAGTATGCAGAAATTCAAAAATGCAATGTTCAAATAGAGACAGTGGTGGGTATTTTCTACTATTGAAGTATTTCATGGTTTAAATAGGGTCTTAATATATTGCGGTATTGCGTTGATGAGATTAAATAAGATCGAAATCGCGATCGGCGTCTAGTAGTTATTTGACAAAAATACGCTTTTCTTACTTCTACTTCTTCAACAAACGTATCAATAATACTGTAGTAGTCCATTTGGGTGTTACTTCAAGTTCGATCGCGATATTGGTTCATTCGCAAGATTGTGTGCGACGCACCGTTCGCACGCGCTTATTACAGAGCCGGGCCTGGTCGAGTCATTTGTCGTGAGACGACGAAATGTCTTGATTAGATCTCATTATTTTTGAAAATGTTTTTGACAAAAGTTTTGTGATTTCGAAAGGGAAATTAGCTGGTGTTTTCGACCTTGGTTAAATCACTTTTTTAGGAATTCATTAGCGATAGAAATAACGAAAAATTTTATAAATTTAATTTACAGTTTCTGAGTGTAATTTACTTGTGATTCAATTTCACAACGTATTTTCGCGCGTGAATTTCGCTTTGTCAAAATGATCTTTACTTCGTTCGACTTTTCGAAGAACATAATATCTCCGGCTGTTCCCCGAAATCGAATACCCCTGTCGCGACATTCAATATACTCCCCGGCTGTTTATTAAACCGAAATAACTTGCTTCGAAAGTGCCGTAAAACCAAACTGTATTATACCTATGTCGGGCGGTGCAAAACCGCATTGTCGACCATAAATCGGCCTTTTTCCGCTGAAACCCAGCACGTGAGAAGGTCGCTATGAAATTTGAGGAACTGACACACGTCCGAGTGATCAAAGATCGGTCGCGAAAGAAATGGAGCACAAGAAAATTATTTCAAAACTGTTCGACCACCTTCATGTCATACGTTGGTACATGCAGTAACCATGCCTCTATGTTTTTCGTAATTACATACTTATTTAAGTACCTAAAGATCTTTCATATTCATAATAAACCTTATAACTAACGACTGCTTGCGGATTCGCATGAGGTAACTTAGTGGATAAACCAGTAAATCCTTATCTAACAATAAAATGAAATAATATAAATCTTTTGGAATTGAATTGAAGCAAATTATTTTGGAAGATATTAATTCATTTGTTTTTAACTAAAACTGTTTTCTTTTGTACTAGTTTTTTTTTGCGCGTAGATTTACATTTGATTTATTGTTCGATATTAAGTTTGAAAAAATAGTTCTGTAGAATGTAGGAATCTAAAGAAATGATTTATAATTTCGCGTTATTTCTAACTAATTTCTAAATTCGGACACGCAAAATTTCGATCTTTAAGATGGTTGAAGCTCATTTGAATTTATATGATAAAATAAGCTCGGCAATGCCTCGTAGTATGACATATGTTTTGACGAAATGTATTTTTACGAAATCGAAGAAAAGGATTCATATTATAAACTTATTTTTGGTAATTGTTTTTGTTAAATGTTATGTTTAATGTGGCTCTTACCATAACTAGGTTTACCTGAATTTGAACCACATGCATTATCTATTTCTAAAACGTTGTAACAAAGGACGGTGTACAAAATAAGATACTGCCATATGGGTACCTGTCGGTTTCAATTTCCTCCTTGCTCACATTAGTGTGTGGTTATTGAACTATGTCTACAAAATTGCGTTAGTTCTGTACTAATACATCTTAATCAATCATATTATAATTCTGTTGCAAAAAGTATGTCCTACAATTTTGTTGATTTGCGACTGTTCCCAGTATATCAATCAATGAAGGTAAAAAAACGAAAAGTTTTTTGTGATGTCAATCATTCAAGCGTCATGCATACGTTTACATGCAATAGCAGAAATTAATACGGTTTTTAAACGGGGAATTTTTGAATCCTAAACACTGCGTTATAAAAAGCAACGAAAGGAGATGTCCCTGTATGAATGCGACTCTTAAATTTGAGTTATAATTTTTTTAGAAGGCTTCAAATTTAAAAAACAAGTTTTCAAGTGTTTTCGTTCTATAACCGAACATAAGAGTTGTACTGAAAAAAGATATGCATTAAACTGGTAGACAACTCAAAAAACTTTAATTTTTAGTCGTAAAAAGTTCAATTTCTTCAAATAGTTATTGTAAAAAAGCTTTTTGGAAGGCTTCAAAGTTTTTTAAAGGCTTCAAAGTATTTCAGTGACTTTTTAGAAAACTTCAAAGTTGTAAAACACCCGTTTTTTTCAAGTTTTTTCGTTCTGTAGCCCAACATAAGGGTTGTATCGAAAAATGATCTGCATTAAACTTGTAGACAACTCAAAAACCTTCAATTTTTAGTCGTAAAAAGTTCAATTTCTTTAAATAGTTATTGTTAAACATTATCAAAAAAGGTTGAGAATTTTTTTAGTTGCAATGTTTATTGCAAAAATAACTTTTTTGATATTTTTAAGGCATTATGATTAAGCCCTTTCAATTAATTTTAAATCGAATGAAATTTTGTCAATTTGTTACTGAGATTTTAATCTGTTTATCCCAAAACGTCATTATTGCTCCAGGTTTTTAACCCCTTATTTATAGCTTTAAAAAAGAAGCAACTTTTTTGTTACAAAGAATTATAGGCGCTTTAATTATTATAACAATTCAGAAATGATTCCGGCGGCTATTGATATTGAAAGATCTAAAAGAATTCTACTTTACAAAGTCACTGCCTTTTATTTAAAATACTTATTTAGAACAACATACAATTTTATCAATTCATAACTTTTGTCTTACAATTATTGTTTTGCCTAGAAACGTATTCGTAATTCATATTAATGCGTGTGATAGTAGGTGTAAATTTATTAATAAATAGTTTTGAAATCCTATACACATAGGCACTCGTATCGCAATGAATTAGCAATTCAAAGTTTTTTAAAGAAAGAATATGGGCGTCAGTCGTTTACTACGAGATAAAAGAAAGGAGGCTAAGCTTTCTTGGAATACAATTCCCTTTCTGAATATTCAAGTACCTCGGAAGTAAGAATAATGGGAATGATAATACCCTATTGTGAAATTTACATGTTATTTAAATAAACCAGTGTTAAGAAATTTTGAATTTCCGAGTAAAATTTGCCTCTATTGTAAATCCAACAAAAAACAGATTGCTCCATATTTTAATTATCATAATTTAATAAACAATACCTGGCGAAAAGACGATTTTAATTTTTAATTTCTATTGAACACAAAGATTCTTATAAACCTACTAATACGTATCCTTTTAAAATTACCCTCCCTATTCTAGTTTTTAGACGATTTGAAGTAAGTGTTTTCGCATTTACCTTCCAGCAAATTTGATCAAAAGAAGAAATTATATTAACAACCATTTCGAACACTCCTTCGCGAAGTTTGAAAGTGTTACGGTGCGTTATTGTAAATCTTTTCTTTTGAAGATATCGGTCACTATATCTGACCTCACACGGTATACTCCAGTGGCAGCCCGTGAAAATGAAAATGTAAAAGAACCACCTAGGTGTTTTATTTTGCGGAAAGTTCTGAAATAAATAATATAATAAACGCCCTCCTATTTTTCTAATGGCAAAACTTATTTTTCGATTTCTAGTTCAGCACAGCATTTGGGTAGTTTCTTTTTTAATATTCAATTTTTTACCTCCCCATCTTATTTGTTCCTATTTCGTCACCTGACTATCTGAAATAAACTAGGTACTTCGAAATTACTTCATCTTACTAACATCATATAAATTATTTATGTAAGTATTAAATTACATTAATCAATCCTTCTCACTTACTCCAGGCTTAGGAATGGAAAAACAAAAAAAAGTAAAAAATTAAAAACAATTTTATTTTACGTGTTTAATGATTTTTCCTACGTCTGCGGTCGTCAAATGTATACACAAAATAAATTTACCTTTTAGGCTTTGTAGGATAGTGTAGGACTTAGTTTATCATGTTTAACAAT